CTAGAATGGATTACAACAAGGAGAGCCTGTGAACAAAAAAAAGAGGGGGGGAGGAGGAAAAAGAGGGGGTAGTGAGGAAGAGGGAGGAATAAATCAAGCCAAGTTAAAGTCATGTCAGCTATTTCGGCATCTGAAGAGGTTTGCGGGCAGGAGATCAGGGCAGTGTAATTAGCATAGCTCATGAATTTCAAGTGAGCATCTGAGAGTCTCTGAAAACAGCCTCTGTGAATAAAATAATGGAACAGCAGCTGGATGGGGTGCGTGTAGGGTACATGGGCAGCTGTTTAAAAAACAGTGTCTGTAGTTGATTAACAGAAGAAACCCTTGGAGGAGGACCCTGGCAGGATGGCGCACCGCCCTTGGTGAATAGTTTTATCAATGACTTCAACTTAGACACAAGAATGACTCTGGAGAGACTACAAAGCCTGGATCATGGAACTCTCATAGGACAAATGTCAGCATCATGACCTAATGGGCCAAAATCAGCAAAATTAAATTTAACAAGGATAACAAGGATTAAACAAAATCAAGTCCTGAATGCGGAGAAAGACCTGATTTGGCAGTGGTTATAAAAAAAAAAAAAAGGTCAGAGAGCAAATGAAATGATCTGAGACTTTAACTTAACCAAAAATTCACGAGCCAAAAATGTGACGTGACCTTTTAAAGAAAACGAATATAATACTAGTCTGTATAAATATTCAAAGAAGCGTATCTCCAACACGGTAAAAGTTAGCACCTCTGCTGTACCCTGAAATGGCCAGACCCCATCAGGAACCCTGGGTTTGACTGGGGCACTCATTTTAAACGGTTGATAATCAACCAGAGAACCAATGCCCAAAAAATGCAGCCAGGAGAGTAAACCCACCTAGAAACTTAACACGACAGAAGGTTACAAGAGCCCTGAGTACTGAGCAGGGAAAGGGAAAACTGAAAGAGAAATGCTCATTAGTTTCAAACAAGTAAAGCATCAAATGATTTGGGGAACATATTTATTGTTCCATTTACCCAGGCTAAGACTACTAAGACTACCAGGTGGAATTTAGAGGAAGACCAACCCTGAGAACATAATGTTCGTTGACTTAGGGATACTTTTTTGTTTTGTTTCAAAGAGAGAATGATGAGATACTGGCGCCCTTCAGAGGTGCTATTTGTAGAACAGTCCCTGGGAATTCTGCCCGGCATAGGGTGCGGAGACAAGGACTTTTCAGATCCCATACTTCAGGACACGCGCATTTAAACCCTTCACTTAGCCAGGAGGTACACATGTCATAGAGTGTTGTCTCCAAAGGGAGGAATACAATAGCAAAATTTAGCTTGCTCATTCAAACTATTATAATTCTTCATTAAATGAACAAAAAAAAGAACTTATGTTAGAGGGGTCTGTGTAGAAAGTAGGCATCATTAGAGACCTGCATTCTCCAAATGTAAGTGTTCTTAAATATAGTTGTTGTTGTTGTTTTGTTTTAAATGGGTTTCCAGGGGTGCCTGGATGGTGCAGTTAGTTAAGCATCCAACTCTTGATTTCAACTCAGGTCATGATCTCAGGGTCCTGAGATCTAGCCCTGAGTAGGGCTCCACGCTCAGTGGGGAGTCAGCTTCTCTCCTCCCTCTCTCCCTCCCCCTGCACACACTCTCTCTCTCTCTCAAATAAATAAATCTTTAAAAAAAACACACACAAATAAAATGGGCTTCCTTGTTAAAATCAAGAAATACTGGGATAAACAAAGGTAAAGAGGTTTCCTTAGGGCCAAAGTTCAGGGCCTTGCATTATAAATCCCTGAAAGGGGCAAAATGCAAGGTGCCATCTCCAAACTTATTCCCCCAGTACAGGTTTAGAGAACTAGGATCCCACCAGAACACACTTTGGGAAATGCTCTGATAGAGACCAAGCCCAGACATTCTCAGAAGTTCACAGTACAGCCAAGGAGCTCACTGCAGATAGGAGTACTGGGATCAGACAGGGACAACTATGGAGAAGGGATACCAACTCCCTGTTGGAGAAAGCAGGCACATCCATTTCATATTCTAAACTCTTTTGGGTAGGGGCGCCTGGGTGGCTCAGTTGGTTATGTGCCTTCCTTTGGCTCAGGCCTTGTGCCCAGGGTCCTAGGATGCAGCCCTGGGTCAGGCTCCCTGCTTGCTGTGGAACCCGCTTCTCCCTCTCCCTCTGCTGCTCCCCCGCTTGTGCTCACTCTCTCTCACGAATAAATAAAATCTTACCAAAAAAAAAAAGTAGACTCTTTTGGGTATAAGTGGGAGAACAAAATACTCCTTATGAGGCAAAATCCAGCATCCTTATGTAAAGAAAAGCGCTAACATACATCAGTTGAAGCAGAACTTCTATTCCCATGAAAGACTGGGTATTCCACCACTAATGAATCATTTCAAATGTTCCACAGATACCTGCCAAGGAATATGGTTATATTTTGTTATATTTAATAGATGTAGATGGGCATTTATAAGGATTATCCATTTTTGTATAAAGGACACGATACAATTTATTTAACCCGTATTTGGAACAAGGAAGTATTCAAAATACAAATTCATGTGCCCCAAAATGAAAACGCACACAACTGAATTCATTTAACTGCATAGAAGTTGAATCATATACTGATACATATACAAGTGTAAAGACATCCAAGCTTAGATTTTTGTTTTTGCCTTACAGGTTGAACGTCTTCTGAGGCCGCTTTTGGTATGTGATGGGCACCAATAAATAGCAGCTAAAGAATAAACATCATCCTGCCTTAGTTCTTAGGTATGACCACAATTTCTTATTAGAAGAGAAACAGGTCTGAAGCCGAGCAGGTATAATAATGAAATAACATGATGAAAAAGAGAGGTCATGTGTGTCTATTCAGAAAAGTAGGGTTTTTGAAAATTTTTAAACCTCAAATTATACATGTAATATCCTATCAGCAAAAGCAAACAGCGAGTTACTTGGTTTTTGGTAAGGAAAGCCTAATTACATTCTGTTTAGTTCTATGTAGCTAAATGGCAATGGATACATATGCCAATTTTACTGATCTACGGATTTAACACATCCTTAGTTGAACCAGCTATAATATATGTCAAAGAAAATACTTCAGTTTTAAAACAGTCACAAAGTAGCCCTGTTTTGTTTTTTTTTTTTAAAGATTTTATTTATTTTTGAGAGAGAGCACGTGAGCCTGAGCGGGGGGAGGGGCAGCGGGAGAGGGAGAAGCAGGCTCCCCACTGAACAGAAAGCCCAATGCAGGACTTGATCCCAGGACCCTCAGATCATGACCTGAGCAGAAGGCAGACGCTCAACTGACTGAGACACCCAGGTGCCCACAGCCCTGTTTTGTTAGTGCAAATCTGCAATAATGTAGTTACACGTTAAATACATGTAGAAAAAATCAATGAATAGAAAGACATGCCATATTCTGAGGTGGAATTTCAAGCCTTTTCAATTAAGATCTGTAAAGGATGTCTTTCATTCTTGACAAAAGTATACTTTTCATCTGGATAAAGTATCATAGAAGGGATTTGAGAAATGCTATTAAAGGGGTCTTAGCCACCCCAGAAAGGTAGTACACTTAATTTTTATAAAATAGTTATTAAAAAATTGTAATAGTGTCTGATTGGGGCAGGAAGAAGTAGGAACAGAACACAACTAAAAACAAAGTCAAATCTACATAAAAATAGGCATTGTAAGCCACTGGGAAATAATGAATGCATTTTTTAAAATACATGAAAACAGTGAAGTCACTGGAATAGGAAAATCTACTAAGTATTCAATTTGGAGATGGGAAAATACTTCTCAAGTATAAAAGTAGAAGAAACTAAAATGAAAAATCCATACACTTCACTAAATAAGAATGAGTCTAAACTTAGGAGTCAACCTAAATGGTCAAAAGACACTTTGCAAGAGAAAGAGCCAAATATACTTGTGAAAAAAAAATGCATTCTCACCAATAACCAAAGAAAGGCACATTAACAAAATCTCTTTCCAAAACTTCTTAAAAACAATCGGTGTCCTGGAACTTCTGAGAGACATGTTAAATTCGTATAAACTTTAAAAAATCCTTTTTAAAAAACATACACATCCTTTAATTCAACACCTCACCTCAAAAAAAATCTGTCTTAAGGAAATAGAGATGACTGTTCAAAAATTTTTAAGACAGTACACTTTTGCTAAGTATGAAAATTTGGAAATAGCCTGAGGGTCCAGCAGTAGGTGTTTTATTAAATAAATTTTAAATCATGACACGTTTAAGAATTATATGAGGCAGACATGAACAATTTTGTTATCAAAACTATTTAATGTTACAGGAAAATATCCACCACATAAATAAATCAAAAGAAATGCTATAAATACTAGCATTCCAAATGTTTAAGATGAAGAAAATATGTATATTAAGAAAACTAGATATGGAAACTAAATTATCAGTGGTCATCACTGAATAGATGAACTGTAACTTGTTTTTTCTTTGTACTTTTCTGTATTTTACAAATTTTACAACGTATGCAATTTTAAGAAAAAAGTTATAAATTACCATGTGTTAAACATTATGAAAAACATTATCACACCTATTCTTTCACAGTTAACTCCACTTCTAGGAACTTACCCTAAGGACATAATCAAAAGTGCAAAATCATTTATGGAAAAGGATGTTTATGGAAATGTTATTTATAATAAAATAAATCTGGCAATAATAGGGAAATTTTAAATAAAGGTGGGGACATATGATCAACTGCTGGTAGGCCATGAAAAATGCTACTTAAGAATATTAATGTTAGAGAAAACAATTTAAGGTTGTTAAAAACAGGGCATAACAAACTTGAGGTATGTGGATCGAATTTTATGACAATATATGTATGATAAATACACAGAAAGAAGGAAGCAAATAAAATGTTAATAGTGTTTATCTGGAATTGATTACTTTGCTCTATTTTATAAATTTTTTCACTGAAAATGTATTGCTTTATAATTAATTATAGTTCCAAAAATAATACAAATTTTTAAGTTTACATACTTGGTTGCTCCATCATCATATGTTCCCATTAAGACTATTGTTCCATCTTGTATGGACTTCAGAAACTCAATAAATGGGGCCACATCTGAAGAAAAAGAAAGGATTGATGGGTTTTGGGGTTTTTTAGTGACTAAGTAGCCGTCATGATAACCACTTAAAAGTTAATATTAACTAAAATATAAAGTATTTGCAAATCAATAATTTCAAATGTAGAGTAACCAAAAGGGAGACAAAGCTTATGAATCGGTTAAAAATGAACTTTGTCCTTTAATAGGATCCCAGCATCAACTTAGAATTTCCCAACCCTGATTCATCCTATGTGTCTTCTGTACTGATATTCCAGGGGCTAAATGAAAAAAACATAGCAAAGTTGTATTAAAGTATGACTGACAATTTGAAGAAAGAAACCTGATGGGGATGGGGGAGGAGCGTAGAAGAAAAGCTCATGGATTCTCAGAGCATATGTAAAATTGTTTGTATGGGTACTTATCTAAGAGGAGGATACAGAGCTTTTATCTAATTCATAAAAGGTTCTGTAATTTCTTAAAATATTATATAAACACACACACACACACACACGAACATACATGCATACATATATACACTCTGATTTAAAGGATCCTCTGGGCACATCTAATTCCTGTAAACTAGAGGAAGGAATGAAGGTTATATCTAATTATGGCAAATACTACAGTCATTACCTGCTTCGTCTAGTGCACCAAGATACACGAAAACTTAAAGATAAACCACTTCGGTGACCACACACTGGCATGGCAGATCTAGATCACATACTACCGATTGTTCTACGTCTTCAAACTCTCCAATGTCAGGTCTCCATGTAGTCCCCAAGTCTAACATTGCTTCAGAACTGGGTTGCTTCAAATTTACCCAGTTTCTTTCCACAGCAAAAAATCCAAAGATGTCCTCTAACTGAATTCTATTTTATAATAATAGCATTTTCAACTCTGAGAAAATATAACAGAGCAGCTAACAAATCATTTTCTTTTAAATGCACAGACAGAAGTCAACTGCAACTATTTCTTCACTTGAAGAGACTTTTTGGTGTAATTAATCTACCTGTGATGAAGCAACAGAGCTTCTGATTTCAACGAAGGTTCTGCAAGAGTGTTTCCAGGTAGTTCAGTGTTGGTAAGGCCAATTATGCCATTAGAAGCTAAAACTGATGGCAGCATCTTAAATTTATACCGTTTTTACAGCTATGAAAAGTCCTCCTAATCTCATTTAAAAAATAAATAAAACACTGCATCTCATTACAAGCTGAAGAAGTATTAGAAAAGCTGAATGGTCTGAAAACTTAACATAAATTTCAAGAAGACTACCAGTTATTGGCTTCTAGGGAATATATAAAGGGGTTGGAAACGGGGAGGTACAGGGCACAGCCTCATGCTGAGAAATATCCTGAACCAACAACTTAGAAAAGAATCAAAAGATAAATCAGTGTTGGCCTTACATGAGATTTGAGGAAGAAATTTCTTTTGGGCACACTCTTGTTCAAGATGCTAGGTCCTTGCTTCTGCATGTGGGTAACTGACTTACACCTGTTCCTTGAGGAACTTCCACATTAGGAAGATGCCTGTGAACTGCTCTAAGTGCAATGAACTAAAAAGAAAATGCCTTCTCTCAAATATTCATCTACTTTAATAATAATCCTAATTATAATTTACTTTTTGAGACTAACAAATCATATGCAAAAAATGTCAATTAAGTTAAAAATGCTTAAATTGTTTATGCCCTTCTCCAAATTACTTATTCTTTTTAAAAAATGTCAGAGACTTAAAGGATCCAAGGCTTTCAATTAGTTGTCCTGCAGAAAATAGGACTCAGATTTTTAAAATCTCAATTTTGATATTATTGCTCTTAATTACACACACAATTTCCATAAAAAAAAAAAGCAAAGTAAATGCAATATGACCTAATACTTCACTATAGCTGGATGTTTAGTGAGAAGAGAAAATGAACTAACACAAATATACCATCAATCTCTCATTAATGGGCTATATTATATTGAGGAAGCCTAAGAAGTCAGTGTTAGCAACAGAACAGTTATGTGTTATTCACACTTACCTCCTCCCCACATGTCAAAATATTTGGTGTCTAATACTTCTCCTGTTTTTCCTGAAAGAAATGGAATTCATGTCAGATTATGCAATTGAAATATATACTGTGTAAGACAGGAGATCTTATCCAGTGATGGGTTTGGATTCATTAGCAGAGAAAGAATTATTTTGAGACTTAAAATCTGAACTGTATGCATCTGAAATATATTTCTAAGAATAACTTTTGAATAAATTAAAATTCTGGACTTTCTCACGAATCTCATAAGCCAAGGAGCAGCAAACTGAAGTTCACAGCTGAGTGTAGACCACTCAACTTCAGTTAGGTTTCATCCTTGTGTGTTACCATCTTCCCTTATTTAAGAATTAGCAAAAAATACGTAAACCTTTTACAAAAAGATGACTTGCGTTTTCTACCATTAAAGCCATCTTTTAAATTTTTTTCAGATTTCCCTTTGAAAATGTATCTTTTTTGCTATCAAATACGTATAGAAACTTTTATGTAAGAAAATAAAGTAAAAATGCAGAAACTTATCTTCTGTTGTGAAAGAAATAAAAAATATTTTCCTATACTACGAACTGGGTAAGGCGGCCGTGGTCCCTAATCGCCTGATACAGCCTTAGAGGGTTACCGTACCAGAAGGAAAAGACAATCATGCAGTCAGGCCTCATTTCATGGGTTCATATTTTCAGATTTGATTTTGCAAGAACACTTGAGACCTTCAGGATTCGATGAACTTATTTTCACTAATGAACTTATGTGACAAATGTGGACAATACCGAAAAGTTACAATTAATCCTTACTCTTCATCCCTCTCCCCACCCCTTCCATTAGTCCATGACCCTTTGTCATTTACAAACCCTCATGTGTCACTCTGTCTTCCCATTGTTAGAATCCAACACCTTCAGAATTCATCAATTTAATGTTAGGTTGGTTTTAGCCTGACAACCCCATGGGAAACTCTCCACACACTGCACAGCAAGGAGGGTGCTTCCAAGGAAGCATGCTCGCACACTTAGACACCAAGTCGCCACGTATAGTTGGTTTTTCAGGAGGATGGGAGGAAGTTGGGGAGGGGGCTTTAGTGTCAAGGGTGGCACTTTCTAACTTGATCCCTTGACAGCAGAGGGCATTTTACTCTGGGCCACATGAATCTCCACTGACCACATCTGTAAGGTGAAATAATTATTCTTACCATTTACTAAGGCAACATTGATCCCTCTTCCAACATTATTCTTAACACCACTCATTAAACTGAAGGAGAAAAGTCAAGACAAATTTAGAATTAGATACTGTACATAAACATGTATCAGAGAAATAAAACCATGCCAAAAAAAAAAAGTTGGGGATATTATATATACACACAATTGTTTAAGAACTGCAGTGGAGATTAAAAGATCTCTACTACATCAGAGAAGACAGTCTAATATTATATAATTTTTAAGCAATGTCCTTAAGTAAGATTTCACAAATCGATGTATTAAAAAGTATCAGGACCCAAATAGTAGACTACTTTTTGCTACTCTGTGTCAGGTTATGAAATACCATTTTAGAAAATCCTTAAAACATGTGGACAGTAAACACATATTTTGCACCATTCTCAAAGGATCAAACAATTGATAATCTCTTTTCTACTTTTTGCAATATCCATGTGACATGAAACAGAAATGAGATGCTTTTATCATCTGGAAGCAAGAAGAGTTTCACCTACTTCACCTAATTGTGAACATTCTCTTAGTGATTATCAATGTAAAATTTCTCTATACCCAGAAGAAGGTATCTTGCATTCATTTAATTACTGCATCTAAGCACAGTCACTTGCATTGTCACACCTGAGGTAATCAACATCCAGGAGCAGCTCACAGACCACTATGATTCTGTGAAACAGAAGGCATGAGTGGAACATTTGCTTGTATCCGTTCAGTTTGCTGAATTAGAATAATTAAAATTGTAGGTATCTACAGTCTCAAAACTCAAGGTAATAGTAATATTGCTACTGGTGTGCTGTTCAATGATTAACAACTGGTTTGAGGTTGATGGAGCAGGAGAAGGATGCATATATGGGAATATACACACAGACACACACATGTCCATATATGGGACATCCATACCTACACAGGCAGGTGCCTAAGTTTATTATAAACTTTACTAAAATATAAAGGATTTTGTAGCACACAATTTCACAAATAATAAAAGCTATAATATTTCATTATGCATTCCACAGAGCCAACTGATTCTAACAGAGTATGTTGCTTTTCATAGAATTTAGATCTGTAGCTAAAGCATGGTTGCAAGTGATGGATGAATGCTGTTCTAACAAACGTTGGATGACATTTCATTTAAAGAGTAAGACACCTCTTCATATACCTGTTGGCCATTTGTATTCCTCTTTTGAGAAATGTCTATTTAGGCCTTTTACTCATTTTTTAATCAGGTTATTTGGTTTCTTGCTAGTGAGCAGCAGGAGTTCCTTATATATTTTGGATGCTAATCTATCAGATATATGGTTTGCAAATTTTTTTTCCCATTCAGTAGGCTGACTTTCCATTCTCTTGTCTCCTTTTCTGTGCAAAAGCTTTCTAGTTTGATGTAATCTCATTTGTCTACTTTTGCTTTTGTTGCCTAGGTTTTTGGTGTCTTATTCAAAAAATTCATTGCCCAGACCAATGCCATAAAGTTTTCCCTAGATTTTCTTCTAATAGTTTTTTGGTTTCAGATCAAGAAACTGATTTTAAATATAATGATACAGGTAGGTAAAAAGTAAAAGAGTAGAAAGAGAAAAATCATGTAAACTTTAATCAGAAGAACACAGGATTACTACTCAATAATAAAGAATCCAATTTAAAAATGGGCAGGGTTTGAATAGACATTTCTCCAAAGAGGATACACAAATGGCCAACAAGCAAATGAAAAGATGTTAAATATCATTAACCATCAGGGAAATGCAAAATGAAATCACAGTGAGATACCACTCAACACCCACTAGGATGGCTGTAATCAGTAAGTCAGATAATAAGCAGTGTTACGTGGAAAAACTGGAACCCTCATACACTGCTGTTAAGGTAAATTGGTGCAGCCACTTCAGAAAATAATCTGGCAGCTCCTCAGATAGTTAAACATAGAATAACTATATGAACCCAAATCCAGTCCTAAGTATGTGTACAAGAAAAATGAAAACATGTCCATACAAAACTTATATACAAATATTTATAGAAACATTATTCCTAATAGCCAAAAAGTAGAAACAAACCAAATGTCCATCAACTGACAAACGAATAAACAAAATGTGATATATCTATATACAATGGAGGATTATTCTGTCATAAAAAGGAATGAAGTATTGATACATGCTACATGGATGAACCTTGAAAACACTATGCTAAGTGAAGAAGCTGATGACAAAAGAACCCCTACATATTATATAATACCTTCTATATGATAATGTCCAAAATAGATACGTCCATAGAGACAGAAAGTAAAACATGGTTACTTAGGGCCGGTTGGGGAGTGGGGGAGAAGGGAGTGGAATGGGATGGGAATGGGGTAGAAGGGCAACACAGCTAAAGGACACAATTTCTTTTTGAGGTATAAAAATGTTCTAAAATTGACTGTAGAGATGGTTGCACATATCTGTGGATATACTAAACCCTCGGACTGTATACTTTAAATGAGTGAATTGTATGGCATGTGAATTATATCTCAATAAAGCTGTTTAAACAAAAGAAAGTAGGAGTGGCTATATTAACACCAATTAAATAGACTCCAGAGCAAAGAAAATTAGCAGAGAGGGAGATTACATAATGATCGAAAGGTCACTTCAGCCAGACAGAGTAAACTTAAATGTGTATGTATCAAGCAACTGAGGTACAAACTACGTGAATCAAAACCAGACAGAACTGAGAGAGAAACAGAAAATTTACAATCACAGCTGGTTACGTCAACAGCCCTCTTTCAACAACTGATTGACAGAAAATTACCAAATGTATGGAAGAACTCAACAACAGCATTAACCAACAGTGTCAAAATGACATTTATTGAACATTCTACCCAACAAGAGCAGAACACACATTCTTTTCAAGTGTCCATGGAGCATATACTAAAGGTAGATAGACCATGAGTCACAAAATAAACCTCAACATTTTTAAAAGAATTGAAATCACACCAAGTGTATTCTTCAACCACAATGCAATCAGTAACAGAAAGATAACAGGAAAATTTCCAAACACTTGGAAGCTAAACAACATACTTCTCAATAATCCATGGGTCAAAGAGGAGGTCTGAAGGGAAATTAAAAAACACACTGCAATGAAAGAAAATATAACTTATTAAAATTTGTGAGGCATAGCTAAGAGAGTACCGAGAGAGGAATTTATAACACTAAGTACTTAAATTAAAAAAGAAACTAAAAGGAATCCCATAAACCTAAAGTAAGCAGAAGGAGAGCAATCAAAAACAGCAGAAATCAATGAAACAAAAAGCTTGTTCATTAAAAAGGTCAATAAAATTAACAAACCTTTAGTAAGACTGACAGAAAAAAAGACATAAATCACCAATATCAAAAGTGAAATGGGATATCACTATAGACCCTGCAGACATCAAAAGGATAAAGGAATACTATGAACGATTTACCCTTGTAAATTTGACAACTCAGATTAATTAGGCCAATTCCTCAAGAAGTACAAACTAACACAATTCATCCATTATGAAATAGATCATTTAAATAATCCTGTAACTATTAAAGATACTGAATTCATAGTTTATAAACTCAACTCACTGGAAAATCTCCAAGCCTAGACAGTTTCGCTGGAGACTTCTACCAAATGTTTAAAAAAAAAAACAAACAATTAACACTACTTCTACACAAACTCTTTCAGAAAACAGAATACCTCCAATTTTATTTTATAAAGCCAGTATTAAAATACCAAAACCAGAGTAAGACATCATGAGAAAACTACAAACCAATATGCTTCATTAGTATACAGGCAAAAATCCTCCTTAACAAAACATTAGTAAATAGAATTTAGCCTTATATTTAAAAAGCCAGAAACCATGACCAAGTCAGGTTTAGCCTATGGATACACAGATGTTTTAATATTTGAATAGTTAATATAATCCACTGTATTAACAGATTTAAGAAAAATTACATGATCACCTCAATACAGAACATGCATTTGACAAAATTCAACACCCATTCATGATAAAAAGTCCCAGAAAACTAGTAATAGAGAACTACCTCAACTTGATAAACAACATTTCCAAAAATCTACACCTAACATCATACTGGATGGTGAAAGACAATACTTTTACCCTAAGATCAGGAACAAGTCAAGGATGTCCATTCTCACCATTACTATTCAACACAGTATTGGAAATTCTAGCCAATGCAATAAGGCAAGAGAAGTGAAATAAAGGCACACAAATCAGGAAGGAAAAAATAAAGCTGTCTTTATTTGCAGATGACATGTTTGTCTGTATGGATAATCCCAAGGAATTTACAAAAACAAAAACAAAACTCCTAGAAGTAATAAATTAATTTAGCAAGGTTACAGAAGATACAAGACCAACACACAAAAATCAATTGTGTGTCTATATACTAACAATATAAAAACTGAAATTAAAAATACAGTGCCACCTACAATTGCTTAAAAAAAATGGGGGATACTTAGGTATAAATCTAATAAAGCATGCATAGGACCTGCAAGCTGAAACCCACAAAAATGGTAATGGAAGAAAACAAAGAATATATAAAGAGAAATGCCATATTCATCAACTGAATAGTAAAGATGGCCAATTCTCTCCAAATAAATACACAGATTTCACACAATTCCTAACAAAAATCCCAGGAAGATTTTCTGTAGATAGAGGCAAGTTATCTAAAATGTATATGGTAAGGCAAAGAAACTAAGTAGCTAATTTGGGGGAAAAAAAAAAAGAAGAAGAAAATGGGAGGAATTATTCTACCTTATGTAAAGACTTACTCCATAACTAGTATAATCAAGAGCATGTGGTATTAGTGGACAGATAAATACACAGATCAACGGAATGAATAGAGAACCCAAAGCCAAGTGGGACCAAAAAATGCACCAGTCGAAATATAGGCAACTTATTTTCCAACAAAGGAGCAAAAGCAATTCAATGGAGGGAGGATAGTCATTCCAACAAATGGTGCTGAAGCAACTGGATATTCATAGGCCAAAACTGAACCTCAACCTACATCTCATACTTTATTCAAAAATAAATGTAGAATGGATCATAGATTTAAATGTAAAACATAAAACTATAAAAATTTTAGAAAATCATGCAGAAGAAAACCTTTGAAACCTACGGCTCCATGAATGATGGATTTTTAGACCTGACACCAATCCATAAACAAAGCACATCCATGAAAGAAAAATAAATCAATAAATTGGAACTGGATTATCAAAATTGCAAACTTTGGCACTAGAAAAGATCCTAGTGAAAAGGATGTCTAGACAAGCTATGGGTTGGGAAAAAATAGTCACAAACCACATATCTGACAACAGGATTCATATCCAGAATGTATCTCAAAAACTCAAACTGCAGTAATTAAAAAAAGAAAAACAAACACTCCAATTACAAAATGGACAAAGACATGAATAGATATTTCACTGAAGAGGCTATATGGATGGCAAAACAAACAAACAAAAAACCCCACATTAAAAGATGTTCAACATCACTAGCAATTAAATTGAGATATCACCACACATTTGAATAGCTAAAATAAAAAACAGTAACACCACCAAATTCTGACAAGTATACAGAGAAACTGGATCTCTCATATATTGCTGGTGGAAATGTAAAACGGTGCAGTCACTCTGGAAAATGTTTGGCAGTTTCTTACAAAATTAAACATACGCTTACCACACAACCTAGAATTCCTGGGGATTTTACTGCAGAGAAATAAAGATGTACATCCACAAGAAAACACGTATGTGGTTGCTCACAGCACTTTTATTGGTTAGCAGCTAAAACCTGGAAACAACTAAATTGTTTGGTTGAGGACAACAGGTGATGGATAAACTGTGGTATATCCATAGTACAGACTATTACTCAGCAATAAAAAAAAGGTAATTAACATGAACCAGTATTTCAAGAGTATTAGGCCAAGTGAAAAAAGCCAATCTCATATGGTCACATATTTTATGATTCTATTTCTATAACATTCTCAAATTTCAAAATGATAGAAATGAAAAACAGGTGAGTGGTTGCCAGGGGTCAGTGATGGTGGGGAGAGGATATCAGGGTGGTATAAGAGAGATCTTCATGGCGATAGAATAATTCTGCATCTTAATTGCTGTATTGGCTACATGTATCTACTGTATCTACACATGTGATAAAATGACACAGAATGACACACATTGTACCAATGCCAATTTCCTGGTTTTGATACTGTACTCTAATTAAGTAAGATACAATCATGGGGAAACCGGTATAGAATACACAGGACTACTCCGTACGATCTTTGCAATTGCCCGTGATTTCTGTAATTATTTCAAAATAAAGAGTTAAAAAAAATAACTCTACTTGAAGGTCCATTAAAAAAGGAAAAGGATAAAAATTTGATTTTGAAAAGCTTAGTAGCATTTAACTATTTATATCTACCCATATGGGTTGCATATCTGCCTTCAAAATCTCACCTTTCATTCTCTAAAATTTACATGTAATAAAGCACAGACATTTTCCATGTGTGTTCAAGAGTAGTTCTGAAAGATGAGCCATAAGGAAAGCAACTAAACGTGCTGCCCCAAAAGAAGGCAGTTTAGAAATGCATTTGCTCTGCTCCTGCGAGAAATATGTAGGTAAACTCCATCATTAATGTTAAGAAGCAACACCAATGATTAACCTGTTACATTAATAGCTGTGTATCACGGTGTCTTAATACTTAATAATCAGAGTTTCACAGTGTCTCCACCATGGAGTATGCTGCCCTGTCTATCTCAGAGCAAAGGAACACAGGCAACAAAGAAGCAGAATGGCAGAGGCTTCCCACAAGAGGGCAGCAGCTAATCAATTTTTAAAACCTGTAACTAGCAAATGACAAACTTGAAGATTTTTAATATGTCAATTTATAAATATATAAACCGGTCTTATTCACACAAGTGGAAGTGTTTTCTTTTATCTTTCATGAATATGAAGGTTCCCCTACAACCATTCCACACCTCCAGATGAAAATCTAAAGAAAATACTATGTAATCTGTAGACAGATTCTACATCTTTGCACATAGTTTTGTTTAAAATACCTACTTTATGTTTTAAATACCACATCTTAAAATGATCAGTTTAGAGCAGGGTTTAACAAACTATAGCCCATGGGACAAATCTAGCCAACTGCCTGTGGTTTGTTTTTTGTTTTTGTTTTTTTTTGGGGGGGGGGTTATTATTTTTGAGCTTAGAATGGTTTTTATATTTTTAAATGGTTACACTTTAAATGTTTATATAAGTACTTATACACTTTCCTTGATTTTACCTCTTGACCCTTACAGTCAAAAATACTATCTGGCCCCTCAAGGTAAAGTAAATGAATAAATCCATCAAAATAGTTTGCTGTATATTCCTATACCAAACATTAAGATTATAATAAAAGGCGAAGTATTATCCTAATATCAACTTCATATAAACTGAAATCAAATGAGTATATGCCTAAAATAAAAGCTGTATCTTGAACGTAAGATAATTCTAATGGGTTCTCTAATGCAAAATAAAAAGAGCTACAATTCCTGTATTGTGTGACACTTGATGTTTATACCCAAGATTTTCTATCCCAAGCTAATGAGAAGTTTGAAATCCATGTTAATCTCCATAATATATCTGATGCATCTAACCTGTCCTTAAAACCATAACCACCACCCTAATCTTAATATCGTCTTTTGTCTATATTGAGGTTTCTCGAACTCAGTCTATGAGGACGTTACGGCCCCAATAACTCACGTGGCAAGGCCGTCCTGCCACACTGGGGGAATGGGTCAGAGCATCCCAGCCACTGTAGAGCCAAGTAGAGCCACTGTAGCCAAAACATCGCAGAATGCCTATAGACCTTGGCAAATGTCCCCTGGGGAGCAACATCATCCCCACTGAGAAGCACTGATCTGGACTAGTCGTCTCCAAAATGAGTGTGCATGTATTCAGGGCATGTGCAGGAAAATATTAAAATTTCTACTTACATATTTTTAGCATCTATTGATAGATTTAGTGAATGCACATGAAAAAAGCCCTGTCACCACTGTGGAGAGGGGCAGTGAGAGCCTTGGCAGCTACTGGCAATGGCCTTCCAGTTATTCTCTCTATTCTATTTCCCAAATCATTTCATACATCAGTCAGATAATTTTTTCAACATAAATCAAATGACATGCCAGAATCTGAAAACCTTCGACGACTCAAACACTCAGAAAAAGATCTCATCTCCTTACCTGCACGGCCTTTAAGTTCCTACTGGCCTGGCCCTTCTCCCTCAATCTCATCTCGCTCACCCCCATTGCCCTGCATCACACCCTGCTGCTGTGCACAGCTCATCTGTCTGATTGTCCAGGGAAGAGCAGATTAAAAGCATCAACCTAAAGGAAGGGCTTGTGATCTCAGACACCAACTTCACATACAAGTGATCGTCAACCCTAAGGCAGGAGGCTGAAAACTTAAAAACTGTACTTGGTAGAGCATCTCAGTACAGAAAACCATTCCACTTAGTGGCAAACAGTTCTGTATCACAACAGGGGGAGGTTATTACTGGATTATTTCACACTTCAACAGGCACTCAGACGTTTAAAACAAAGGATGTTTGTGAGACAGAGCATTCGTTATCTAGGGCAGTGCTGTCAAATGGGACTTTCTGCAATGGTGGAAATGCTCTGTATTCAGCTGGGTAGGCACAAGCCATGGGTAGCTACTGAGCACTTGAAATGTGGCTAGTGTGCCTGAGGAACTGAACTTTTAATTTTAATTCATTTAAATGAATTAATTTTTTCCTGATTACTTAAGAATCAGAATTAAATCATCACATGTGTCTATGGCTACCGGATGGGACAGCCCACGTCTAGAGGATTCAGAGAGGAAATCCCACATCTTTACATGAAGCTGAATAAATGCTATGTTCTTATGTCACTCTAATATGAAATTTCAGAATTTTTTTAAAGGTTTTATTTATTTATTTGACAGAGACACAGCTAGAGAGAGAACACAAGCAGGGGGAGTGGGAGGGGGGAAGCAGGCTCCCTGCAGAGCAGGGAGCCCAATGCGAGGCTCTATCCCAGGACCCTGGGATCATGACCCGAGCCGAAGGCAGAAGCTTAACCGACTGAGCCACCCAGGCACCCCAAAATTTCAGAATTTTAAGGCTCTTTAAACACATGGGAGAAGAAATTGTGTAATGAAAACTGAAATCACTTTTTAAAACACGCCCCATATATTTTCAAAAGATCCATTAAACTCAGGTTCAATTTGCTATAATTTAATAGCACATCATATACTTCCAAACTGATAAATACTTACATATTGTCTTCCAGACAGATTTTGGGTCCCACCACATTGGCTGCGCCACTTGCCATTTTAAAAGCAAAATGCTTCTCAGGGCAAGCTTTTGAGATTCCACATTTATATCTGGGGGGTTTTGTAGCTTTGGGGAGAAATGTTTTTAAAAAAGTATTAGTAGACTCTATAATCAGTTTGTTTCATATCTTAAACCAGAAAGAGCATTATGTAAAAACACCAAGATATATGTATCTTAAAATACATACAAAACAAAAAACAGAACTTCCTAGGAAACAAGCTAATAATTGACATAAATGAATCAAGTAATTGATCTTGATGAAGGTAAATATATTTTATCTAATTACTTTTTTTATTTTTCTAAAGTTTTTAATTTAGCAAACAATATTACATTAGTTCTAGGTGTATAACATAGAGATTCAACAACTCTACATGTTATTACGCTATGCTCACAAGTGTAGCTACCATCTGTCACCATACAACACTATCAAAATACAACTGATTATATTTTTACACTATAGCTTTTATTCCTCTGACTTGTTAATTTTTAAACGTGGAGTTTATTTCTCCTACTCCCTTTCACCCATTTTTGCCCATCCCCCAGCCATCTCCCTACTAATTATTTTTAAATTTATTTTTAAAATTCAGGATGGGGAGGGGCACCTGGGTGGCACAGCCAGTTAAGCGACAGACTCTTGGTTTCAGTTCAGGTCATGATCTCAGGGTCGTGAGACTGAGTCCTGCGTGGGGCTCTGTGCTCAGCCCGGAGTCTGCTTAAGATTCTCTTTCCCTCTCCCTCTGCCCCTACTGCTCATGCTCGCTCTCTCTTTCTCTAAAATAAATAAATACATCTTTTTAAAAAAATTCAGGATAGGGGAGGTTTTGAATTGCTACTTTACATTTCTAGTCCATATATGCACAATACACTATTAACTCTAGAATGAGTAAAAAGCCTAACACATCACTGACACTGAATATCTGCTCACGTTCTAGTTCTAACGAGGAACTCTTCTTTCACACATTTTCTGTACTTACACTACTGAAACTAAAAACACTAATAAAATATCCATTATGAATACCAATATATACCAAGAATATTAAGCTGTCCATTCAAATAGCATCCTTATAACTTAAAAAGTTCTAACTCAATTTTGCTCAAGTTGAAATCTCTCCATTGTTTGATTTTAAGTGCTCATATGCCTAAGATAAAACAGAATAAACCGTCTGCAAAATATTGACATGAAATACTTACAACGCGCAGCTGTGTCCAATGCTGACCTTGCTAGGAAAAAAAAAAAAAAGTTATCTTTGTTAGAAGGAATAAAGCTATTGTCAAATATCCACTTTTTAAACACATTTGGAACTAAAAGACATAAAATAAAAAACAATATTGCTCTAGAGAAAAAGTGTGAAAGTAACTTTAGGCTACAAAACTCACTACAAACAATTATGCAGAGGAATTATGGATGGTAGTATTTTATTACTGATAGAACATTTTATTCTTTATATTTTATTTTTATTTCTAGTTATAATTTAAATCTCAATCAGAAAGATACTCTACGAACTTAATTTCTTTTTAGATTTCTTTTTCAATTTTTTCCAGCTTTCTTAAGACATAATCAACACAGAACATTCTGTAAGTTTAGGTGTACAATATGTTGACTTGATACATCTATAAATTGCAAAATGATAACCAGTATAGTATTAGCTACCACCTCCATCCCATCACATAGTTACCATTTCTCTTTTTGTGGCAAGAACATTTAAGATCTACTCTCTAATCAACATGCAAGTATATGATACAGTTATTACTGGCTATAATCACCATGCTACATTAGAGATCCCCAAACTTGTTAATCTTGTAACTGGGAGTTTAGACCCTTTGAGCAAAGTCTCCCCCTTACCTTCCTCCCAACCCCTGCTAACCACCATTTTACTGTTTCTCTGAGTTTTTCCTTTTTAGATTTCACATATAACTGATACCATACACTATTTCAAACTTCCCTTTAAATGACCTTAAATATATACTCGGTGACTACTATGGCGTTTAAAAGTTGATCCTGCTGTACACAGGTGTTGTGTACACATGCATATAAAGTCCTGGAGAATATATATAAACTTATCTTGGTGGTTAGGCTAGGAGATTCGGGGGCAGGGAACACAAGAGGGATGGTGGTGGTGAGGAGTTTAATTTCTCTAGAATAGAAATGTATTGGGTGTAATAAACAAAATAAGGTCAATTACTAAGCCTTTTATAATTTATCAGTTCAAGGAAGCCAGAATCTTATGATCAAATCTAAACTTTAATGCAGCAGATCTCAACCTGGCCATCTACACTTAGAGCTTTTTAAAAAGCACTAACATCTGATCCCAGTCTAGGGAATTACAGTTCAGATCATCGACAGTATTGTGGGCAGCCACTTCCCGATTTGGCTAATAAGTATGCGGTGTCACAAATATTTGTCAGCTGTATGACTATAAATAGTCACTGGGTTTTTAAAAAGTTCTATACTATTTTAGATAATTGAGAATTTCCTGTAAGTCCAGAACTGAAACTGGAAACAGAAAGTTAAAACTGAAAAATAATATGTAAATGTTTAAAAAGAGGAAAATTACCAAGTAAATGAAGGCTCATTAACTCTATAAAACACTCAAAATATTACATGCCACTGAAGTCATAAAAGCAATGGGAGTAACATGGAGAAAGTCTAATGCATGAAATAAAGCAAAAAATCAAGCCTTATCTATACGAAACATATTCATGGATAAGGACAAAGACTTGAAGGAAAAAAAAAAAAAAGACCATTTAGTAAATTAGAGTGCTGGGACTACTGGGATCATTCTTTTAATTTCCTTAATTATGGCATAAAAGTAAGGGAAACATCAATTCTAGAGATCATCTGGTCCAAAGCTCTCACTTTTGTAAACAAAATTAAAGCCCAGAGAGTGATTAGCAGCATAAACACTAGATATTCTCAACTTCACTTTGCCCTGAACAAACACATATCATCAGACTCAGGTGTTAAAATATTTACAGAAAAACACTGTTCAAATCAGGAATTCTGGTATGCCTAACTTATGGTAACAAGATATGGGGAAGACAGTGGGATCAGAATAGGGGTAATATAACAGAGCTCATTCATATATGCTGGGTACTCTTATCAAGTACTTTTGCATGTATTACTGATTTAATCATCATTCCTGTTTCAAAGAGAAAGAAACTGGGAACTGAGAGGTTTACTGATTTGATTTGTTTCAAGTCATAATTAATAACTGGCAGAGATCGTTTTCAAAGTCCTATTTCACTCTAGCACCCAAACTCCTATTGCATTGCAAAATGGGAAATGTCTGAGGTCCTCTGATCACATGCATAAAAACTGCTAGTCCTGCTCAGGGCAGGATGCCAGGATAGGGAGCTTTCAGAACAACCCTTCTGACTGGAGAGGATTCAAGACTGAAGACAAGGAGTCCACAAGGACCAGGATGCTGCTAAAGTAGTCCAGGTAAAAAGGCATAGCAGCTGGAACAAAGGTAATGACTGTGGGTTTGAAACAAGTAGACCAGTTCAGAACAACTAAGGAAGCAACACTGATGGGACTTGAGAATGGACCAGATGGAGGGATGATGGAAAGGCAGCAGTCAAGTTTGCCTCTTGGACATTTGGCTTTAGAAGCCTTCATTTATTTTATTTTATTTTTTTTAAAGATTTTATTTATTTATTTGAGAGAGAGAGAAAGCATGAGGTGGGGAGGGTCAGAGGGAGAAGCAGACTCCTCGCTGAGCAAGGAGCCCGATGCGGGACTCGATCCCGGGACTCCAGGATCATGACCTGAGCCGAAGGCAGTCACTTAACCAACTGAGCCACTCAGGCGCCCTAGAAGCCTTCATTTATTCATTCACATGAACCAATGAACAAAAACACCATGTCTGCACTCAGATGCTCATAATCTAGTGAGGAGATAGGGGTAAGGAATGGGTTCGTTGCTGAACCTGCCAATTTTAGATACTTGGAGACGATCCAAGTGGGAAAGTCTCAAAGCCACCCTAAATGAGATCTGGGATGAAGATATAAATGGGAAAGTTAACAAAGGCTGACCAGAGAGGCCTCTGGATTTAAAAATCAGAGAGCTGATTAGAGAATTTAGAGACATCAATAATCAACTAATGCTCAAAGAGGAGTGTGGCTGAGCAAAGGGAGGTAGAAGAAAAGCCAGGGATGAGCCTATAAAATGGTCAAGCTAGGTTGCTTGTCAAACTTAAGAGATTAAAAAAAAAAAAAAAAAAAGGTAAATGCTATTTAATTCAAAAAATGTTACTGGGATAGGATCTGGGGAAAACCAGTTTTTTAATCATTAGACTTTTAAATACTAACATCACCTCCATTTACTCTGTGTAAGAATAAAGAGAAAAGAGGCTAAAGGTTTAAAAAAAAAACAAATAGGGGAGCCTGGGTGGCTCAGTCAGTTAAGCATCCAAATCTTGGTTTCAGCTCAGGTCACGCACCATCTCAGGGTCGTGGGATTGAGCCCCCTGTCAGACTCTGCACTCAGCTCAGAGTCCACTTGAGATTCTCTCCCTCTGTATCTCCCCCGCTTGAGTGCACACACGCTCTCTCAAAAAATAAGTAAAATCTTTAAACAACAACAAACAAGTCTTGGAAAGACTTTTCTTCCCAGACCAGATGAAAACTAATTTTTATCTAATATTTATCAAAACCAAAAGCCCTCTACTGAGCCTGCAATTCTGAGAATTTTAACACCTGAAAGCCAGACAGGTAAATTTTCACAAATAAAATGGGATGTTCTCCATATGTAGAGTATGGGCACAGCAGGCCAGCAAAAATCCCTCCTTCCCTGCAACTTGTATTCTTCCAACTACCCTAACAGCTTTAATTCTTAGTTTCTTCCAATATACAGCTTTTCACTTTAAGGAATAATAATAAACATTTTTCATTTGGTTTGCATTTTTTTCAAGTTTTATTTAAAATTTTTTATTTTAGGGTCACCTGGGTGGGTCAGTCATTAGGCGTCTGCCTTCAGCTCAGGTCATGATCTCAGGGTCCTGGGATCGAGCCCCGCCCACACTGGGCTCCCTGCTCTGTGGGAGGCCTGCTTCTCCCTCTCCCACTCCCCTGCTTGTGTTCCCTCTCTCTATGTGTCTCTATCTGGCAAATAAATAAATAAAATCTTTAAAATAAATAAATTAAATAAAATTTTTATTTTAAGAAAATAAACAGCCAGGCACCATTTTTAACTGTGGAATAATAATCATGAATTATTCAAGATTAAATTGCATCAAGATAAACTGAGCTTTTGTACAGTTTAGATATAAAATATCTCTGGAAAGCTAAAGAAGCTCACTGACTGCTGAATCTTTTACATTAACTGAATTTAATTTTCAAATTACTAGTTGTTTTTATGGCTTATATGATGACTGAAGAATTCTTAAAAAATAATTTAAAATGACTGAAAAACAAATGTCTCCAATATCTATGAAATAAGTAACATATCAAATAGAATTAGAACACTTACTTTCTTCAAGAAAAAGGTTAATGGCTTAATCATTATTATCTCCTCTTATCAGATGAGCTGATAAAATGAATTCACTTGGAATTTTTTTTTCAGATTTGGGTTTCATCAATGAATGCCATCCAATAAGTCAAGCTACAGAAATCAGAACTATTTCATACTTTAGTTTTTAATAATGTCAAGTAATTTATGTATATACTATTTCAATGGTTTAAATCTGAGGGTAAAAATAAATCAACTCAATAGAACAGTAAGTACTGCAGTTATATATCCAAAAATAATTTGGAATGTGTTTAGTACATTCACTAGTTTTAAGTATCCATGCTGAAAACTAACACTGTGTTAAAATGCAATCATAACTAAAACTCACAGATTGTATCCACGCTGATATCCTGGTTGTGACACTGTAGATAGTTTTCTAAGATGTTACCAATATGAGAAACTGTGTAAAGGGTATGCAGGATCTCTATGTATTACTTCCCACAAATGCATGTGCATCTACCTACAATTATCTCAAAAAGTTGTGTGAAAAGCTTGTTTTTAAAAAATCACAATGTATTTTAGTAATTTCAACTAATTGTGAGCAAAATTTTCATTCCATTCTAGAAATAGTTCATTTTATTTTTCTATAATAGTACTATACAATAACCTGAATCTAAATTTATAGAACTATCAAGTAAGCTATTATATCAACACATAGAAAAAAAAGGAAAAATTCACCACCAATACAACTGTAGTTCACCTCATGGGATCCACTAGTATACTGATTATAGAAACAATTCTAATGTTGAGTTAAACTTATCACCCTTTGGTAAACTGAGTTAAATGCTAAGCAAATGGCAAAGACAACCCTATCTTCATCTTTGCCCAATTATTCTGTGATGAGAATTAAAATATAACAAATTAAATTTTCACCAATTCAATAAATTGGAATCCAGTAAGGTTTTGTGGATATAGTGTAAGACTTCAGTTATGATAACAAAATAAGCCATCTGTCCTAAGAATGTGTAAATCAAATACCTAAAACACACACAATAAAACCTTGTGGATCCCCAACATTAGGGAAAATCAAAATGAAAATTAAGAGACAACTATTCTAGTTAAAATAGCTCAGCGTCTTTTCATAGCTGACTACCAGGGGCTTTTCAATTAATATAGCCTTAAATGAGTCCCACTTTGGAAATACTCTTCCTCCCCATGTAAAAATCCTAATCCTCAATCACCTACATCCATTTTCCATCCAATCAGCATGTACTGTCTACATGTACGGCCCAGCGCTAGAGCCGGGTGAAGCACCAAGGTGTTACTGCCCTTAAGATTCATTCTCTAAATCGGAGGGGTGGACGAACCATGAGAGACGATGGACTCTGAAAAACAAACTGAGGGTTCTAGAGGGGAGGGGGGTGGGAGGATGGGTTGGCCTGGTGGTGGGTATTGAGGAGGGCACGTTCTGCATGGAGCACTGGGTGTTATGCACGAGCAATGAATCATGGAACACTTCATCTAGAACTAATGATGTAATGTATGGGGATTAACATAAGAATAAAAAAAAAAAAGATTCATTCTCTAATAAGGGGAAACAGACACGTGGAAAATAAAAGACATTATACAATGTAAGGCAGAATAAAATGAGTGCCAAATTGAGATATAAGTACTATGCTTTAGGAACAAACAGTTCAAAAAAGAAGCTACACATTCTAATAGGAAAAGGGGGAGGTTCAAATATAATTTCTCTCAAGAAGGGCATTTATGCAGTTCTGAAAAATGAGAAGGATTAACGGAGGAAGGGGGGTTGAGAAAGATGTGCAGTGTGAGGAACTGGCATAAGCAAGGCTGGGGTGTGGGTCTACAGATGCTGTGCAGACCAGCACAGCAAGTGCAAGGCACGAGGTAAGGAGGGGAGGGGCAGAGGCGGCTTGAGGGTGTGAGCGTGCCATCCTAAGTAGGGACTCTGATTTTACTCTCTAGTTGTCAGAAGTACCAAAGGTTCATGAGTGTTAAGAGAACTGCTCTGGCAGCGATGAAGCACAGATACCAAGGACGAGAAACAGACATGGAGCATCCCTGCGATGTTTACACAGACGGTCCAGACTAGAGATGAAGAGCCAAACTAGGGCGAGCGCGGCTGTGGATTCGCCCAAGCTTCTTCTCTCTGAAAACACTGGGCCTGTTTCCAAAGTAGTTTTTTTATGTGTACCAATGGTCCCATTGCCTTCCTTCTTTCAAGAACCCTCTTTTTCTTGTTTGTTCAGTCTCATCCCATTGACTTGTAATTCCCTGAATCTCTGCCCAAAGCTATAGACAAGCGAGTCTCTACAGTACTTCAAAAAAGAAAAAAACTGGTGCCTGAGTGGCTCAGTCGTTAAGCGTCTGCCTTCAGCTCAGGTCATGATCCCAGGGTCCTGGGATTAAGCCCCACGTCGGGCTCCTTGTTCTGCAGGAAGCCTGCTTCTCCCTCTCCCACACCCCCCTGCTTGTGTTCCCTCCCTCGCTGTGTCTCTCTCTGTCAAATAAATAAATAAAATCTTAAAATTAACAAAACATTCAACTTGCTTCTGCCACAATCTTCTTCCCTTACCATCAACCTTTCTTAGGTGACCTGGCCATACACATTGTTTTCCCAGTGACCCTGAACAAGTCCTCAAAGCCTTCAGTGTTTTTCTGCCCCATTATTCAACCACAACCAGCTGTGCTCTCAAAGGACACCAGGCAGGCCTCTTCGTAGTAACAGAAGTAGGTAGAAGTAGGTAGAAGATACCACTGTACTTTGTAATGACTACTCTATACTGAATCCTTATGTGTGTGTGTGTGTGTGTGTGTGTGTATTTTTTTTAAGGGGCGGGCAGAGGGAGTGGGAGAGAGAGACTCCTAAGCAGGTACCATGCCCAGTGCGGAGCCTGACAGGAGGCTGGATCTCACGATCCTGAGATCATGACCTGAGCCAAAATCAAGAGTTGGACGCTTGATCGATGGAGCCACCCAGGTGCACCCCTGGATACTTCATTTTAAAATGGGTACTGAAAAACAGATGGTTCAGGAAGAAAACAGCCAGTACACTGAGAGGAATGGTTCAGAGTGGGGGGAATTCCGTAACTGGAGAAGATGAAAACTTACAAAAAAAGATGGCCTGAAGGAGTATGACTGCAGTTTAACCATTTGAGAGCTCATTGGTGTGGAAGGGAACTCCAGCAGACAGAAGATCAGTGCACTGATACTACTGGGGAGTATAAAAGACAGAATTCAGTGCAATATAAAAAGTACTTTTAAGTAGTTTTTGCAAGAAAAGTGACCTGAAAATGGTTATACAGAAACTGATGATTACACATCAGAATTGTCTAAAGCCTCGATACTCAGTATGTGGGTCTGTGAGTAGAAACCTCAGCATCACCTGGGAGCTTGTTAGAAATGCAGACTCTCAGGCCCCATCCCAGACACTGAATCCGAGTCTGTATGCCAAGATCCCGGGGAGATTCCTTTGATATTAAAGCTGGAGGACCACTGGTTTAAGGGAGTCTTGAAACTAGATGTGAGAAGAAGTGAACGAGGTCTTGGGATCCCTTCCAAATACTAATTTATGGAAAGCAAAACTCCCTATTCCAGAGATCTCAAAGTTGTTCCAACAGATTTCTGTCTCATGGGTCAAAATACTGTTTCTAGGTTTCATATTCTCACTTTTCATGCATAATTTTTTAATACCTTAATGTTTCAACCAAAGCTTATTCAAACATTCCAAAAGTTAACTTATTTTACTAACTTAAGAATTTTGTTAAAAAACTGAGTTAAAGTAGCTTACAATGGTATGTTTACAATATAGCATTAAATAAATTGGCAAAGAGAAAAATGATGCAGAAGGAAATAAGGGTAGGAAAGCAAGATGGATTTCTGTGGCTGGTATTTAAAATGCATTATCATGACTCCACTTACTAACTGAGGGCTAGATTTGGTTCCAAGTTTTCTAGCAGCTGACTCGAATAGCATGTGGTATCTTCCAGAATATTCATTTAGAATGCCATGAATGAAATAGACCCCATTAAATCTATTCCAAATGTTGAAGATTCATGCTTTATACGGAATTATTTTTAAGACTTCCTATTGCGTATTTTAGAATATTCTAATGGATCTCACTTACTGACATATTTACATTTTCTTTTCTAGACAGACTAAACAGCAGAGTGACTTGATGCTGATAATTGGTAAAAATTTATAGACAACCAATCAAAAACAAGATTTAAGAAAGGGGAAAAAAATGGAACTTACCAAATAGATTTCCTAAACTTGCATCCATTTTTATTTCAAATACTTGAGAAATAACATAAAATGTCAGTAAAAATACTGCCACAGCTACCACCAACTTTGCAGCACCTAGAAAGGGGCAGAAATAATTCGGCATGAGCTCCTGAGACCACAGAACTTTTACGAATGCGTTTTCATGAAAAATTTAAGCTTATAAAAAAATTTCTTAAAACTAATAAATTTTATCTATTGGATCTTAATTTTACTTGAGTTACAACAAAAACGGCACCCACCATCCATCAAGATAAGGGATTTTCCTGATCAAAGAATTATCAGATTGGCCAGTAACCCAAACACAGGACTGCTTGACTCATCTGCCTAGTTTTCTCATGAAAAAACAAAAACAAAACCAACAACAACAAAAAACCGAAACTACACAAAAGTATCATGGCAAATGGAACACCATCACCAAGTATGTGGGATGACGCATTCCTAACCCTGTCCAAATATAAAGGGCAACACTATACAGGGATAATACAAAAACGCGGGACCTTGTGGAAATACTACGGCAACACCATGACGCTAAGTAAGGAACTCTCAAGTGACATATAACAGGTTTCCTGTCCTATCACCAACCATCCTGTCTCTTAGAGCTACACAAGCACTCCTGCTATGGTGAACAACAAAGTGTTCATCCTTACACTTATCCTCCTGGAATCCTAGAGGACTTAATCTAGCACCTATCGCACATGCTTCATAATGCGGTTACATGATAAGCTCCATCAAGACACGCTCGTAGACTTTCATACCTTTCTACCTTTAACCATTTCTGGGTGCCTCACAGAGTTAGCGCTACCAGCTACTAGCTAACTAACTGCTTAACAGGAATCGAAGACTTGTCTTTTTTCTCCATAGCTAGGCAAATCTAGGAAAGAAAAAAAAAAAAGTGCAAGACAGGAAAGGAAATGGAAAATGACAAGGAAGAAATATCCTCCCCTCTCCCCTAGGATCTCAGAGCATCTCATTAGGTTTTTCAGGAACAATACTAATATTTGCCTGTACCATCTCCATTCCCCTCTTACCAAAAGTTTAATTTATATTGATCTAAAAGAGGTAGATGGATCAGCAGGCATCTCTCCACCCTTAAGGAAACAAAAGCCCAGAGGTCAGGCAAATGCGCCCGATTACAAATAACATCACAGCAGCAGAAGGCCCAGAATCCAGGAATCCTGATGGGGCCCAGTGCTTGGTACAGTACTCCGTTCTAGCACCAAATTACCACCTTCTCCTAAAACACTACCAAAACTCAACTCAGTGGGTAAGGAAGAGTAAAAAAGGAACTATGTGTTCGCTCTAATTTCCTAAACCTCAAGAACTAGGACTACATCCTTCAAGGAGCAGGAAGAGAATGAACTGATGCTCTCAAAGGGCCAGTGATGCTGAGAAGTGCTGGTTTCACAGAGCTCCTCACTTCTATTTAGAAACACTCTACAAACACAGAAATGAGATGGCAGTGAGGAAGCCTCACTAACCTAATCAATCTCTGCACCTCCTGTGTCCAACCTTCTCCCCTCCAAAAATCACTTCTTATTTTCAAAAGCAACTACAAGTTGCCTACATGTTTAGTGCCTAAGAGAGCAAAATTCCAATAGGCTTTGAGCTCTTGCCCCCAAGGATCTAGCAGAGTGCCCGGACATAGTCATTCCTCTCAACAAGTGTTTGCTAAATAGATGAATGGTAAGAGGTGACACATTCCTTCTTGATCACTTAAGACCAAGGGCTGGAAGACTGTATATCACATGACAGCCTTAACCACTCATTTTCTAGCAATCATGAGCATGTGCAACCAGAGATACCTTTTCCCTGTCCCTTAGAACAGATATATGAAACTTTACTGTTTAAGATTAAAATATTAAAATGAATAAAATATCAAGGTTATAATACATGAAAGTTCTAGACTAAACTCAATTAGAGTTAGATGTGAGCCTACACTAAACAAACTGCATACGTCATATACGTCATATATACGCATACGTACATATATACATTTGTGTATACAATACACACACACCATTTACTGAGCGCCTTCTATAGAGCTAAATGCTTTACAAGCATAATCGCATTAGCACAGCTTTCCAATGTATTATTTTCATTTTACAGAAAAGAAATCAAGGCTGAAAATCTTTTGATCACTTGCCTAAGGTCACATAACTAGTTACTGGCAGAAGTGAGTCTTCAACCAAGACCTATTCACTGGCACTGGACCATCAGAGGAACTAGGAGGAAATAAAAGCTCTAAGGCAGAGAAAAGTTCGAGATGGAGAAATGAACTGGTAATAGAATAAACAGATGGCCCCAGAAAGGAGCAGGCAGGTGAATACTAGAACAGCCTCCATAATGTTAGAGTTCTAGAACTTCCGTTACAGAGCGGACTCCTCCAGAGCTAGTCACCATTCAACTCTGGACATAAAGGGGCCGGACCATACCACACCATAGTGCCCATTCTTTTTTTTGGGGGGGGGGGTTAAAATTTTAATCCTTTCAACAACTTTACAAGGTTTTTTTTTAAATTTTTTTTATTAACATATAATGTATTATTTGTTTCAGGGGTACAGGTATGTGGTTCATCAGTCTTACACAATTCACAGTGCTCACCATAGTACATACTCTCCCCAATGTCCATCACCCAGCCACCCCATCCCTCCCATCCCCCTCCACTCCAGCAACCCTCAGTTTGTTTCCTGAAATTAAGAGTCTCTTATGGTTTGTCTCCCTCGCTGATTTCGTCTTGTTTCATTTTTCCCTCCCTTCCCCTATGATCCTCTGCCTTGTTTCTCAAATTCGTCCTATCAGTGAGATCATATGATACTTGTCTTTCTCTGATTGACTTATTTCACTTAGCATAATACCCTCTAGTTCCATCCACGTCATTACAAATGGCAAGAGTTCACTTTTTGATGGCTGCATAATATTCCACTGTGTAGAGAGATATATATATGTATATATATACCACACCTTTATCCATTCATCTGTTGATGGACATCTAGGCTCTTTCCATAGTTTGGCTATTGTCATAGTCCCCATTCTTAACTTTCCATGAGACTCTCTCTTCCTTCTAGCCATGGACTGCACTAATCTGAGTGTGTCCCTATTTTTACTTGGCTTGCTGGTGAGAAGATGATAATTACAAGAAAGGCTATCTCGATTTTGAGAAATTACAAGTTACCTTCTATGTTGGAAACACATATAGTAGAAATTTCTACGTAAAGTGTGCGTTTCCTCTAGGGTCTTGGCTGTGCTGAAGGAGGGGTGGTGCTGGGAGAAAACACTTTCACAATCAAGGCAGGAAGAGGTCATCAGCCTCTCCCATTATTTATGCAACTTTTTATAATGTTTAAAGACAGTTCCCTTAATACTATGAACATCAAGCTGTGTTTTGCAATTTCCTCAATATGCTTATCTTAGACATAACCTCACTTATGCAGATTGAACTCGAACCAGCAAATATTCACTTAAGCAAACATACATTTTACCGAATTGTTCACATACACCAGTTTCCAGTTTCTAGGTAAGTACATATATAGCAAAGACGTAAGCTTCTTCTAAACTTTATGACTTATTTTTCTCAAAAAGCAAGAACTTATTAGCAAAAACAAAAATCAGTCTCCTTATTAGGTTATCAAAATTGTTACTTATATGGGCATTTTATTCTATTAGGCAAATAAGCTTAATGTGTAAGAACATAAACATTAAAGCCGTAACTTAAAAAAATTTCGTATAAATAATTTTCACAAAAGTTTGTCCAATTTGTGATTTACTGACTACATAAAAAAGTAGGCGAAGTAGTGATTTAGTCTCTCTCTCTATATATATATATAACAGACTAAATATATATATATATAAATATATATATATCAGCTTTGTTCTTAATATAGAAAAAGATTATTTACTCTCTCTTTTAGCCATTTAAATAAACAAGTTATGTGAAAAGTAAAACTATTTCTACTGAATTAAGTATCTTACCTGCTACCCTCATGTTTCGTTTTTCAGTCTATGGCACTTTTCATTAAACAACCTCCTAAAATCAAAAGAAAAGGCAAACATCATTAGGTCTAGAATGAGCATTCCTGCCTAGATTGAGTTTGACTTGAAGTATATATAATAAATTAACTGGACAAATGTCACGACATTTGTGTGTATTTCCCTCCTAGGAAATTACTCAAGATTGGTGAAATTTTAAAAAGAAAATGAGAAAGCAAGTAAATGAGTTTGACAGGAAATTCATGCACAGGTTTAACTAGACAGCTGCCTCAGTCTACTCCACCTACGGTATAGGAAAGGAATTCAAAAGAAAATTTTGATTAATGAATCTGAGACCTTTGTTTTAGATTGTCCTTGATATTGATGTTTCAATGCTGATGTCTGATCTAGTAATTCACAGAATGTTTTAAATAAAAATAGCAGCACACCCCTGAAGGACACAGAAAGGAAGTGAACCATCCAGTTTGTTCATTCACCAGTAAGAAATAGGCCAGGGTGGGGGTGGTGAGCATCCAAGAACCAGTGTTCTTAGGAGAGCTCCCCTTCTTCTGCCCAATTTCCCCTGAAGAAAATATCAACATTTAAACTAATAGCAAATGGAACATTATTGATTTCTTTTCCTCTGTTATCTGAACACCTTGCACATAATACGAAAACCAGTGTTATCAATCTATTTAAGCTAACTAGTTATCCACAGGCTAGGGAAATACTAAAAGGAAACAACAGATACTAAAGTATCCACAAACCGTCACATAAAAGCAGAAAAAAAAAAAAAATCCTTGGCTTTTCAAATGAAATCCCTGACTGGTTTTAAATCCTCTTTTGACTTCCAGCAAAATGGAACACTACGCTCACAACACTCACAGACCTTTCCCCCCAGTTAATATTCCAAAATAACTTCGCTCTTATCCGAATGTGGCCTAGAAAATTTCTTTGGAAGTGGGTAAGCAGTTGGGCAGACGCATGCTGTTCTTTTTCACTACTTCCATTCCCTGCTGAGGACCCCTGCACCAGCGAAGTCACCGCCTCACAAACCCACCCCCTACTGGCGCAGTCCCATAGGCCTGCTTCTACACTCACACTAACAGGACTGCAATAAGCGACTGCAAATGTCTAGCGGAATTCATGTTTTCCATTAAATTTCTGAGAGAACATTTCATAAAATCTCTAAATTAAAATCTCATAAAATCTCAGCCTAACACATTTTTAGTTTGCTTACGACAAATTAATGATGCAAGAGTGCAGATCAGCATAAGGAAAAAGTATCAAATATATTTGAGAGCAAATCAAGGAACGTGTTTACAGTATGCTAATTCCAAGTCATCCCTAACTTGTCTTCTTAGGATGACATTTAAAAGACAAAGAAAATCATTACATATAATCATCTCAAGGAGAAAAAAAGCAGAAATTTAATGGAATATACCCGGCACAAACCTCAGGCTCAACCTCCAAAAATCAAGCAGGGATAAAACAGCTTCACAGAAAATTAACACAACAGTAAAAAAGTAAAAAGTCCTGGGCTAGAAATTCACAGCTCTTTAATCCAGAAGCAACAGGTGGAAGAATCTACAGTTTTTCTGATACATTCATTAAAAAGGTAGAAATATAGAAATTGGAGCTATTTACCAAAACTAGAATACTGGTGGTAGGAAGTGCACTTTTAGGATAGCCTAGAAAGGAACAAAACCAACAGAACAGACAGCCCAGAAATGGACCCTCAACTCTATGGTCAACTAATCTTCGACAAAGCAGGAAAGAATGTCCAATGGAAAAAA